AACTAATGTTTTTGTGAAAAAAAATACGCTTACTAATAGTAGTGTGATTACTTAAATAATTAATATTTGCCTGGTTTGCCTCTAGTAACTTTCGTCCTAGTAATATGTCATAAATGGAAGAAAAGTCGTGAATATAAAATATTTGATCTTGAGTAAATAGGTGCAACTTTTACAAATTTATTGAGTGCATAATGACCTGTCATAGTGCGTATAATGGTCGGATCTTTATGTATGCTCCCGTTAAGAAAATTCTGTTTCATTAAGTTAATTGATGAGCCGGTATCGAGGAGGCAACGATAATTATGATTATTTATAGTTATTTCTATGCATGTAATTGGTCCGAGGCTTGCATTGGAAAATTTTCACTTTCATCGTAAACATCTTCTTCTTTGTACTCTTTATTTGATTGATAATTTTCGTCTATTTGCATTCTTGATTGTCCACTATTACTTTCTCTGACTCTCTTTTGTGATTGGTTGGGTACTGAGCCTGATCGTCGACTTGTCTATTGGCTTTGATTCATTGTATTATTTTGCTGTCCCTGAATTAAATTTCTTCGAAACTCTTGGTAACTTCCCCTATTTTGGTCAAAAGTATTCTGTTATTCGATTGGAACCTATAATTTTGTGAAACCATTCTTTGTGGTTAGTTGGGGTGTGGTTGAATTGAAAGAGCTGGGCCAGGACTAAATTGGTGGGTATTGTACAAATTAGTGTAAGGGTAGGGGTTACGTATATAATTTGTTTGTTGTTGCTTTTGAATTTTTTTAACATTTATATTGTAATGTTTTAAATTTTCATTTTCATTGTATAGCTCTTCATGCTGAGCCGCTTGTGTCAGTTTAAGTACTATTGAAATATCGCTTCTTCCTAATGTCATTCTGTCAGGTAATTTTCGTTGAATTACGATTTTTGTACTCCTAATCATTGCTTCTATGTACAATATTGATTCATATGGACTTCCCTCAAGTTCTAATTTGTTGCTGTAACTCTTTAAGCTCGATCTTATTACAACATTTCCATAGGTTACCTTGAAAATTAGTATTGTATAATCACCTTAACAGTTCCTCCACAGGGGCTTGCGTTTTGTACTCGTCGATTAGGGCTGCTCTAAGAGCTGGCCAGTTATTGACTTGTAGAACTTGCAGAATCCTCTGAGCATCACCGGTGATTTGAAATTCAATTGCTCCATATATAACGCTTGTCTGTCGATCATTGGTTGTAGGATTCAGACGCAAAAGGTAGTTTACTCTTCTGACAAAGGTTCCTAGGGTAGATGGATCTCCTTCAAACGTTGGAATATTCCGGGTCTGGGATAAAAGGTGATTTAAGATTTGCTCCGTCAATGGGTTGGGTGCCACACCAATTTGTGGTTGCCTTTGAGCTGGTGGTTGTTGGTCCATTTTATTGTGTTTAATTAAATTCCACTAAACATATCACTGACTGAATTGGATTTATTCAGTAGTCGATTGAAATTTAATTTATTCTTATATATTTTTAGTGCCGTTAATTTGCACTTAGGCTCTTTTGAGGATCTCTTAGTTGCACTTCCGAGCTAGTCGATTAAATTGCTTACTTGTGGGCAATTCCACGCACTGATCTGGATATCCTAGTAGTTTAGAAATATCCTTTTAATTGATCAGTAAGCTCCCGACTTCGCTTTTTCGCAAGGATATTTTTTAAAGAGACCCTACCGACTGCGCCATTTACAGGAATCGTTCTTCGCCCGAATAAAAAATCAGATTTTTTATATTTGTTGGTTACTCTTTATTAGAACGTTGAATTGTTTACATAATTCGGTCTTATTAGTTTTTCACGCTTGTGGAATTACGTCATTGTTGACGTTCGGACTTAATCAATTTTCTTTGTTTTTTCGCATTGCGGGATCTAAAGCTTCTGTAACTTTTTTAATCAAAGCCGAAATTGGCGATTCTGTTTGTTTGTTAACGGTTTAGGTCTTTGAACTGGTGGCCGTTGAGAAATCGCAGAGCAGATACGTCACTATACATATATTATACTATATTTACTTTTTAAAAAAATTTTTTTTTTTTTTATTTACTTATTTCATGATTTAAAAATATTAACTCGGGGGTTCCTTGTCCTATCGGAGTCGTAGGCACCTCCTCCCCAGCATCTGGCGTAAATAAACTTTTGTTCGGTTGAATACTAGGCCTTAGAAGAAAAAATAGTTTTAAAAATTGTCGTGTCCTGCTTTTCGCGCAGTGTAGATGCCGGCTAGTCAACGAACATCCCAGGGAGGGGAACAACCAACAATGTTGTCTACGCAGCAGACACAACAAAAACAAAACGGAAATTCAAACTCGGACAACGGCAATTTCACGACGGATTTTTCTCGAACATCTGGACTGGACAACACAGCTCTTATTGTGGTCCTGGAGTCCCTCCCAACCATGAGTGTATCCTTCAACATCCTTTGGACACATCTCCCAATCCTGGTCGGTGGATCATGCTACCTCGCCTAACTCATCTCACCCCCCAACACGAATTTCTACTCACACGACTTCATTTCGTTTTCACGTTATAATTCACAATTTTCTCTTAAATTTTAACATTTAATAATCCTACCTACGGTACCGCACTTTTACAGGGAACACATATATATATATATGAATAAATAAAAAACAATAAACAATATTCCAATAGTAAATAAATAGGTTACATAAATAAATAATTTAAATGGATATAATTAGGAATAAATTAATTTGGGCGGGTTACATAATCAATAACGTCAGTCTCAATTTTTTTTTGTATTAATATTCGGCTCTTTGAATTTGTTTGCCGCTTGTAGTTTTTGAGAACCTTTTGCTAATTCTGAGTGGCAAATATAAGGGGCGAATAAAAACCTGGGGCCACCCGGGGATGAGTGGCCAATTTTCTTTTCGAAAATGTAGATCTCCTCCTGGTGGCTGGTCTTCGTCTCTCCTTACGTCAGTATATTTTCCTGCTCTAGGCTTTTCCCTCACGGAATATTCTATAAATATTTATATTTCAACTACACTCACATTAACAAGGATTTTTTTTATCACTCACTGGAACTTGACTTATATATATTTTTTTTCCACCAGAACCGTCTGCGACCAACTATATTTGCCCTTTAAACACCCTTGCTTGTTTCAATTTTTCAAGCCTCTCTTCGCCCAAAAACCACTCAAACTTTTCGAATTTCAACCTTGGTTCATTTGGGAGATATCCGGTTTAAGGAACCAGTTCCATGACTTGTCTAAGCTGCACGACTCCCTGAACTCACGAGTCGTCGATAGTGTTGTATCGATTTTTCGCCTATCGTTATCAGTCTTAAGGTAAACAGCTTTGCTAAATTTCAATTTGTGCATATTTTTTTGTCGTTTAGCACATAACAAGCACACTACGGTTTCGATGCTCGTCTCGGAAGTGGAGTGGAGGATGTGCGTGTTCTGCTGGTTGTACTGCCCAACGTAGGCCACCGCCCACAACCCTGAGATTAATGCCTGGTGAGGTGTGATTTGCTAGCCGGGCACTATTGTTTCAGATCCTTTGCATGGAAAACTCCCAAAGGATTACCGCGCAAGTTTTCTAAAGCGTACAAAGAGTTTCCCAACGCTTTTGTGACTCGACATTTCGTGTACTTTCTGCAAAACTTGGAATTCCTATTCTTGCTGAAGTCACTTAGGACAAAGTTTCTCTTGTATATTTCTTGCCCCGGTGAGTATCGAATCTCTCGGGCCTTTAAGTTGTAACTCTTCGCTGCTTTCTCGTAGGCCTGATGTATCCTTTCCTTTATTTTTTCTCTGGACAGCTGTTGTCGTTCCGACCTGGGCAATTGGGCTATCTCAGCTTCATTCAGGGCATTCAACTTGCGAGCCAGCGAGTAATCTTTCCCGTTCGTGAACATGTGCTGTCCGAACATGGCAAAATACGGCGAAGTTCCGGTGCTGCTATGTATGGATGACCTCAGCGACGCTTGTATGTCCGGTAAGTGTTCATCCCATCGCGTGTGGTCATCTTGGATGTTTACTCGGATTGCTGCTAATACGGATTGGTTCACTCTCTCCGAAGCATTGGATTGTGGTGCGTATCTCCCTGTCTTCATGTGTGTAATTCCATATTCTTGTAGCATATTCTCGAATTCCTTGGATACAAACTGTCTTCCGTTGTCCGTGTGGATTGTTTCCGGAACTCCGAATTGGGTGAATATTTCTTCTTGCAGGAATCGGATTACAGCTGTCGATGTGGCCTTCGGCATCGCTTTTAGCCACACAAACTTGGTCAAGTGATCTAATGCGATAAATAGCATGGTATTTCCTCGGCGAGACCGCGGATATTTTCCTAAGAAATCCAGGTACATCTTTTGAATGGGTCGATCTGTCCGTACTTCTTTCCCCATCACTGGTCGCTTTATCTGTGTTGTGTGCTTGTTCTCTTTGCAGTTTTCGCAGGCTGCTACAAAGTCGCGGACTTGAACTACCATTTTGGGCCAGTAATACATCTGCTGAAGTCTCGCCAAGGTCTTTGCCATACCCCCATACATCGCCATGTCGCCGCCGTGGGCTTGCTGGATTAGAGTTGTCGTCAATGCTTCCGGAATCCACAGTTTCCATTCAAATTCCCCACTTTCCTCTCTATTGAAGTGTGTCTTCTTGAATAGAAGTCCTCCTTCCACACGTAAGTCCGGAAATTTATCTCTTCCTTGCTCTTCAACCAACTGCAGTCTCTCCAGGTATTCAGGACTCTCAAATTCAGTTGTTTCAAACTCGAAGAACTCTACTTCGGCGGTTTCATTCGGCCGAGATAGCATGTCGGCCACGATGTTGTCTTTCCCTTTCCGATGCTCTATGTTGAAGTCGAATGCCTGTAACGCTAATGACCACCGCGCCAGCCTCCCGTTCAAGTCCTTGAGCGTCATAAGCCATTGCAGGCTTGCATGGTCGGTAACGATCGTGAACGGCATCAACTCCGCATAGGGACGGAATCTTTCTACGGCTTTTACTGCGGCGAGACACTCTTTTTCCGTTACGCTGTAACTGAGTTGTGCTCCTCTCAGCTTCGCCGAAAAGAATGCTATTGGCCGGTCCGATCCTTCTACGTCTTGCTGGTATAATACTGCCCCAATTCCTACATGGCTGGCGTCACACTGTATCCAGAAGTGTTTTCCAAAGTCTGGATGAGCTAATACCGGCGCACAGGTAAGTGCTTTCCTTCGTCCACATAAATTTTGTTTTATTTTTAAGGCAGTCCGAGAGCGGCGCACTTACACCGGAGAAATTTTGGATGAATCTGCGATACCAGCCTGCGGTTCCTAAGAAGCTGCGTAGTTGTCGCGTATTTTTGGGCACCTCTATCTTCATAATCGCCTCAACTTTCTTCGGATCCGTCCGCAAGGCCCCATCACCGATTATGAATCCCAAATATCGCAAGTATTTAAAACAAAATTTTGACTTGTGTAGCCCGATCGTCAAATTTGCTTTATTCAAACACTGTGCCACTTCTTTCAGTAACATGCAGTGTTACCCGAAAGTCTTGGATATCATCAGCAAGTCATCCAAATATACAAAGACGCGGCTGCAAAGACGCTGTGGGATTACCTTGTCCATTACCCTACACAACCTTTGAGCCGAATTACATAATCCGAATGGCATCCGTCGAAACTGATAAAGTGGCCTTCCAGGTATTGTGAAAGCGGTCAAGGGACGACTTTTCTCATCGAGTTCCACTTGCCAGAACGCATGTTTCAAATCGACACTGCTGATGAAAATCGTCTCATCCACCCGGCTTAAAATCGACTCAATGTTCTGTAGCGGGTAAGCATCCTTCACTGTAAGTGTGTTCAGTTTTCTCGCGTCTAAGCACAGCCTATTCTTTCCAGGTTTCTGTACCAGCGTCGTTCGGTTGTTCCAGGGACTTTCACTTAACTCGATGACTCCTAACCGTAGCATTTCATCGACATCGGCAATCGATGTGTTACCCCATTATACGAGATGCTGGGTTGAATCTTCCCCACTACTCGATGCTGTGTACCTCCTGCTGATTTCATTATCGATTGTGATCTCTCTAATTTCAATCCTAACCTTTCCACTGTTTCTAGGCAACCTTCCCCAATCAAGCTTACTGATGCCCCGGAATCCAAGAGACCCACGACCTCCAGGTCTTCGATCTTCACCTGTGCGAATGGTCTGTTGTCGCCTTCCACCGCAGCTCTGATGGCCGAAAAAATCATCCTTCTTTCTGCCTTCCGCTGCTGACTTCTCCTACGGGCTCTGGCAATTTTTGGCGAAATGTTCCGGTCCGGATCATTTTCCCCAAATATTCGGTTCCTGACCTCTTGGTTATTTGCTTCCCGGACTGCTATCGGTTCCCGTTTCGACCATTTAATGGTATGTGCTGGTTTATTTATATTTATCAGAATTTTACTAATTTGATTCTCCTTACAGCTATCCTTATCACTTGTTTCACTTGTTCGTGGCAAACGGATTGGAGCGTGGTTCCTCGTTCTAGCCCAAGCTCCTCCCGCCGTTTCCCGTTTGGCATCGAATACATCTTGGAGTCCTCACACCGGGTAGTCCACACTTGAAACAGAACACCTTTAACACCTCCGATTCACACGCGTTGAATGGGTGTCCCACGGTTCCACAATTCCAGCATGTCAGTGGCTGTCGTTCCCTGTTTGTCTCCCAGTGTCTAGCTAATGCCTCCACTTCCGCTTGTTCTCCAGGTACACTCTCTTCTCCGACTGATTCCGGACAAAGCTCATCGATCCTCGGACGATCTTTATACCCTCGGTGAGTTTCGAGGTTGCTGGGATGTCGGGTCCACCGAGTCGCCAATATTCTCTCCGCATCGTGGCATTCATGTCGGAGTTGATCCATATTAGTGATGTATATCGGGTATATAATTCTCGAAATCTGATCCCTAATGTTCATTTTTATTACTTTTATCAGGTCAAAGTCGGAAAACGGCATCTCTAGTCGAGATCTGAGCGCTAGCATGGTCTGGATATACACCTCGATGGTTTCTCCCGGCTTCTGCTTCCGTTCTCGCAGCTCATACTCTCGCTCGAAGTTGGATCGCTGACTCTGGAACTGCTGCTTTAGTGCGTACCTCAGGTAAGTCCACTCTTGCTTCTCCGTTGACCTCACGTACATCCAGTACCATTCCTTGGCTTGTCCTTCAACTAACACGTGAAATTCTCTTAGGACCTCCTTCCACGGCACCTGATACGACCTTTGGAGATGTTCGAGGCGGAATATAAACTCTGACACGGGCATGCTTCTGGGACTTCCATCAAAACTGAGCCCCCACTTCCGCAGTTGGCCGACTTTAAACGCAGAATCGCCCACTGCACCGCTTGACCGACGCTGATCCGGTCCTGGATTGAAGTTGCTCCTGCTCCGTCGACCAGGCGGTTTGCCGATACCCTTCCGATGCGTGACGATTCATCTCCTGCTTCTCGGACAGCGCCCCAGATGTTTGCGGCGGGAAACCCATGTGGTGACTTACCCCCGGCAGTATGATTGGCGGAGGTTGTTGTAGCATCCTCGGGTCGAATGGTGGCATCTGACTCGGATTTGCCCGCGGCTGCTCTGCAAGGCCATGAGGTGGCGGCATCGGCGTCCCCGAAGAGGGTATTTGGCCCTGTCCAACTTGTTGTCCTTGGGCCTGGCGAACCTGCGTAGATGCCTGCCATGCTGCTTTTTCCTTTACGAAATCCCGGCGCCACTCCGCCATGCAGTCATTGATGTCCTTCATGAACTGCATCATATCCTGCTGCATCTGCTGTTTAAACATTTCGTACTCCGTCGACATTCCCACCTAGTACGTATGTTGAGCTTGAACCAGTGCCGCATTAACACCTGATTTTATCTCAGATGGCAAAGACTTTGGTATGGCCCCGGTTCCGCCTACCGCTTAAAGACCACTAGCTTCTCCTGGACTTCCGCTTCCCATTCCTTCAGAATTTTGCACCCTTAGCGACTCCATGCCTTCGGGTGCCGATATGTTCTCCAATTTCTCCTCTTGATTTGCTTGTGTGCGAGTTACTGGCGGAGTCATACCTGCTGGTCCCCTATTCCGGATGAACTCCAAACTTCTCCTCAATTTTCTTCCGATTTGAACTCTATTCCTATCACTATTTGGCATATCCTAATTCCTTTCTCATGTATATTTGCTTTTCTTATCTCTTTCTTCAAATTTTTCTAGTCTGGGGGGGATGAGACGTAGCTATTTACATTATCCACTAACTTTTCTCTCCTTTTCTTCAGTTCCTAATCCGTTCGTGTCAATTTTTCACAAGTACTTAAACGATTTTAATAATTTAATTTACTCCTTATCTTTCAGACTCTACTTGAAACTGGCTGGGCAACGATGTCACACTTTATTCACAGTGTACATGGACCACACCAACTCCAAACATAGACAACAAATTTAGATAAGTTACTACACATTTACTTTACCACAGACAACATATTAAAAAGACAATTGTTTTCTTTTTTTATTTCATATACTGATGAACCTCCTAGCCTGGCTTCGCATGTCCCGCTTTACTCGGTCATGGGCCCACTTCTAATCGGTCTTCTCTCTCTCAGCAAGGATTGTGCTCAGCAGAAAGGACCTTTCGGAATATCACTCACTGTGGCTACGATGGGTTCGACCTTCTAAGCCCGCCCACGGTCCAAACAGCTGGTTTCCGATGTCGCTTTCTATTGACGCATTCTCTGGTGAGTATTTACTTTCTACGTTATGTTTGAAAATGTTTACTTTTATTGATTCCATTTCATTAATTTCTTATATTTTCATTGGGCGCCATTTGTCGTGTCCTGCTTTACGCGCAGTGTAGATGCCGGCTAGTCAACGAACATCCCAGGGAGGGGAACAACCACCAATGGGGAACAACAACAAAACGGAAATTCAAACTCGGACAACGGCAATTTCACGACGGATTTTTCTCGAACATCTGGACTGGACAACACAGCTCTTATTGTGGTCCTGGAGTCCCTCCCAACCATGAGTGTATCCTTCAACATCCTTTGGACACATCTCCCAATCCTGGTCGGTGGATCATGCTACCTCGCCTAACTCATCTCACCCCCCAACACGAATTTCTACTCACACGACTTCATTTCGTTTTCACGTTATAATTCACAATTTTCTCTTAAATTTTAACATTTAATAATCCTACCTACGGTACCGCACTTTTACAGGGAACACATATATATATATATAAATAAATAAATAACAATAAACAATATTCCAATAGTAAATAAATATGTTACATAAATAAATAATTTAAATATATAAAAAGGAATAAATTAATTTGGGCGGGTTACATAATCAGTCAGTCTCAATTTTTTTTTTTGTATTAATATTCGGCTCTTTGAATTTGTTTGCCGCTTGTAGTTTTTGAGAACCTTTTGCTAATTCTGGGTGGCAAATATAAGGGGCGAATAAAAACCTGGGGCCACCCGGGGATGAGTGGCCAATTTTCTTTTCGAAAATGTAGATCTTCTCCTGGTGGCTGGTATTCGTCTCTCCTTACGTCAGTATATTTTCCTGCTCCAGGCTTTTCCCTCACGGAATATTCTATAAATATTTATATTTCAACTACACTCACATTAACAAGGTTTTTTTTTATCACTCACTGGAACTTGACTTATATATATTTTTTTTCCACCAGAACCGTCTGCGACCAACTATATTTGCCCTTTAAACACCCTTGCTTGTTTCAATTTTTCAAGCCTCTCTTCGCCCAAAAACCACTCAAACTTTTCGAATTTCAACCTTGGTTCATTTGGGAGTTATCCGGTTTAAGGAACCAGTTCCATGACTTGTCTAAGCTGCACGACTCCCTGAACTCACGAGTCGTCGATAGTGTTGTATCGATTTTTCGCCTATCGTTATCAGTCTTAAGGTAAACAGCTTTGCTAAATTCCAATTTGTGCATATTTTTTTGTCGTTTAGCACATAACAAAATAAAAAGAGACAAGTATAAAAACGAGTGACCGAAAGTAATAGTTATTTGTAAATTTTATTTATAATAAAAAAATTTTATTTTTCGCATTTAAAGTACAAATTCCAGAAGTCTTTTCAAAATTAATCTTGCAAATAATAGTTACTTTCGGCCCAAATAAAAACTAACTTAGTAAGGCGCGGGCGAAAATTCGGTTGACTTTTTGGCTTTGGAACAAGTTCCTCGGATAATTTGATTAAAATTGAACGATTTATGTCTCTTTTTTAATGGATTTACCATCAGTTTTGCCTAAAAATATAACAAAAAATTTTGAAAAATAAGAGAAGACATTCTGCAATTTTTGTTTTTGGTTCATTGATTTTTTTGAAAAAAATTTTAAAGAAAATTATACCACGCTTTATTTATTTATCTTTGTACTATTTATTAAATATTTTTTTATTGTGCATTTGAAGAAAAACTAACTGTTCCAGGGACTGAAATTTGTTTACGTACACAAAAATAAAAAATTGTGGTTTAATGTTATTAATATTCATTTTTAACGAATTTCAACCACAAACATTAGTTTTAAAAACACAAGTCTCTTATTTTTGGTCCCTAGGAACTTTGCACTTTGCGCAGATTCATTCATTTTTTTTATTTATATGCACCATTTGTTGTTTTTCACGTCAAAAATATATATTTCTTACAGCTATTTTTTTTTTTGGGAATCTTGAATTTCTCTTATTTTTAATATACATTAACTTGTTTCTTACTCTCACTGTTTTAAAATAATTAAAAAAAAGAAGCTTGCCTTCCAGAAAAACAACAAGCAACAACAACAACGGTTCCGCTAATCCGTTGTTGCTCTGATTTTTTGGCATGTTCCGTTTGTCTATACAGGTTCCATTGCACATAAAAGCAGGGTATTTGTAGACATAAGCAAATCGTTAATATTTTAAAACCCACGCCAATTATTTTAATTGGTTTTCTTAACATTTACGAAAAAATGTCGCAATATTTAAAAGGCAAAGGTGCCCAAAAGTCTATCTATTTTAATTGCTGGGCCTCCTTGCCTTCACCCGCATATTTCCAGCTGAGACATGGTGAGAGAGGGGAAGCCCAAAAAGAACTTTTTGTCCGTTCTGTTTGCGGCCCTCGACTGAGAGCGCGTTTCTTTGCCGTCGTGCGCTCAGCTCTGTCCGCGTCGCTGGCTGCTCTGCCGACGTCGCAGTCGATTTCGTGATGATTGGGCGCTTATACTCAATTGTGGAACTGCAGGGTTTATATTAAACTCAGAAACAATTTATTTTTTTATTCTTCTAGACAATATATCGAAGTAAACATTTGAGTACTCTATTTGATGGCGCATGCCCAAGAGAATGTACGGAATTTTTTGCTTACTGAAAATGAAAGGTAGTTGAGGCAACTACATTTGAAGAATTTAGTTGACAGTGACTCTACTATTCATGTAAAATTGTTGTGCGGAAACCAGCAATGTAAGCACGTAGATGCATGCAGCAATCCAGCAATTGTAGGCATTCTGAAATAATTAATGTAGAGTAAAGTTGATATTCAGAATTAAAGAGCTCAAAATTTACCTGGTTGTACGCTCTATTAGCGGCTGCATAAAAATCTTCTAAGGAATGGTATTCCTCTTCTAGGGGTAAATCCTCAATAAGAGCCACGCTATTGATGTAGAAAAATAGACCCATAAGAACCTAAAGGTATTGTTTAAGGTACACGGTTAATTAGTACTGATTATTTGGAAACCCGCAAGTTAAATTACTCACCAATTGGACAATACCCCAAACGGAGATGATCAGACCGCACAGGGACAACTTCGGACCACAGATTTTCATTTTTCGGTGTTCTTAAATTGGTCTGTGAACCAAAATATTAACAATTTGAGGTGACACTAAGAAGTTTTCTTTGATACAAAGTTTAAAGGCAAACCAAGTCAGGTGAATTTATCATGTGACTAGATTTCCGTGTGGCCGTGCACGACTACAATTAAAATACTGTTGCGAAAAAAAATGTATATTTCTTAGTACTAAGTCTATATTAATTCGGATTCCACTGCCCCAAGTTTCAATAATAGCCTCTCCACACAGACGCTTAAAATCGCTGCTGCAATTTGAAGCGGATTTAGTTTTTATTTGTGTAAATTTGTAGTTTAAGGCTTCCTTCTTATCCCACGGATGCTTCTCCATCTTTCCCGCGCCCCCGCAGTCCAGTTCCGAGTCCCAATAGGCATATTGGACCTTGAGGAAGTGGGAGCCGGATTGGGAACGGGGTTAATCCGCTGACGCTGCAGGAAGACGCCCAGCATACTGGAAGTGGATGGCTATGGCTTCTGTTTCTTCACACTGGGATTCTCTAGTAGATCTTTTCCAGCACTTCAACTATTCTGCGGATTTGCCTCTGTTGTATTGCTTCCTGTCAGTGAAATCCCAGAATAAAGGGCAACAGCTCGGATTAGGCGTCCTATTTCATCTGCACTGACCTCCTGCAGTCGATTTTGGGGTTTTTCTTTCCATTTTTTAATTTGTAGTTTCCACATCGCCTTTGCACGAACACCGCCAAAGACTAAATTTCTTATTCTTTGGGCCGCAACTAACGGCGTTCATCGAAATTAACTCGCTAAATCTGGTATTTTTTCTGGTATTTCCTTAGCTCATCTGAGTACCGCGCTGGAAAACAGACCCGACGAAAAGCGTTAGCCGCCTGTTTGCCTCTCGTTCACTCCTATGGTTAGCTTGCGGCTTTCGTCGATGTGAGTACTAGGCTTTTACAAAGAGAATCGATTGTGCAAAAACAGCTGATCGCTTACACAAAACGAAACTACAGGTGAGCTCGTGCAATTTTAGGCCTTTCGGAAAATAAAATGGACTAAAACGTAAAACTAAACACAATTTCAATGCAAGCATTTTCAATATTTATAGCGGGCAATGATTACTTCATTTCTATGTGCAAATGGATATATAATTAGAGTTCCATTTAGAAAAAAATTGAATGGGAACTATTGTGGTTCAACAGTATTCCTTTACAACATTTATAACAAATCCGTAATTTTGGCCAACTCTGGGGGACGTGTTCAAAGCCTAGTACTCAGATCGGCTAAGAGCTTCACTGGTCCTAGTGACCGAACTTTACAAAGTTCACCCTTTAAGCTCGAACAAAATATTAAATGAATTTCCTGAAGTCCAACATATGATATCCCTCTATCAATTAAAGCGGTGTTGTAGCGACCTTTCCCGCCTCTTTCTATATCTCTTTCTTAAGCCTAGTACTTAGATCGACTAAGAGTTTCATTAGTCGAAAAATCGTATTCTTTATAAAGTGAATTAAAGCCTAGTACCCAGATCAGCTAAGAGTTTCACTAGTCGAAGAATCATATTCTTTGTAGTGTGACCGAAGTTTTCAAAGTTCACCCGCAATGCATGCTGCACTGTCTTACTGACAAGCAGCTGGGTTTGTTTCCAAGCGGAAAAAAATCAATTGGAGAAATTTAAAAAGGAGGAGTCTGCTAGTACACAAAGATATTACATTAAAAATAAATGGAATATTCAACGAATGTTTTTGTTTGTGTAAATTAGTAGTTTAAAGCTTACTTCTAGTCCCACGGGTGCTTCGCCATCTTTCCCGCGCCACCGCAGTCCAGCTCCGAGTCCCAATAGGCATATTGGACCTTGATGAAGTGGGAGCCGGATCGGGGACGGGGTTGATTCGCTGATGCTGCAGGAAGTCGCCCAGCATCTTTGCAGTGGCTGCCTATGGCTTTTCCAACTGTTCCTTAGCGGGCGCCCTATTTTCCTCCTCTCTACAGAAGACAGCGGGTCCTCCAGCTCAGCTTAAGCTGCCAAGTAACTGGTGGTGGTGGTGTACGGAATCCTAATGGAGAGGTCGTCGGAGATCGTATTACTGGTGGTTCTGCTAAATAGATACTTTTATTAGTAAAACGCAACCAAATTCTTTTGGCCAGATCTTACTTTCTTTACGAGGACGCGCCTGGCAGGTTGTCCATGTAGAGATCGAAGTCCCACTCGGCATGTTCCTTCCCACTTGGATTCTATAGTGGATCTCCTCCAACACTTCAAATATTCTGCGGATTTGCCCCTTTTGTGGAATTGTTTCCTGTCGGTCAAATCCCACAATAAAGGGCATAAGATTGGATTTGGCGTCCTATTTCATCTGCACTGACCTCCTGCATCCGATTTTGGGGTTTTCCTTCCATTTTTAATTCTTAGTTTCTACATCGCCTTTGCACGAACACCGCCAAAGATTAAATTTCTTATTCTTTGGGCCGCGGCTAACGGCGTTCATCGAAAATTCACTCGCGAAATCTGGAATTTTGTCTGGTATTTCCTTAGCTCATCTGAATAACGCGCTGAAAAACAGACCCGACGAATTGCGTTAGCCGTGTATTGGCCTCTCGTTAACTCCTATGGTTAGATCGCGGTTTTCGTCGACGTGAGTACTAGGCTTAAGTTTTTAAAGTTCACCCGCAATGCATGTAGCATGGTCTTACTGTTAAGCAGCTGGGTTTGTTGTGTTGACGATTTCAAAAAAATGAATCTGATGATGCACAAAGAAAGAACTATGCATAGAATGTTCAAGGGATGATTTTGTTAATGTTAGTTAGTAGTTTAAGGCTTCCTCCTCATGTCGCGGATGCTTTGCAATTTGTCAATATGGGCCTGGAGTGAGTGGCATCCGGATTGAAAACGGGGTTGTCCCTTAGCGGGCGGTCTTTTTTCCACCTTCATATAGCAGCCAGCGCTTCCTTCATCACCGTTTTCGTGGATTGCAACTATTGCGTCCCACAATAATGGGCAACTTGGATAAGACGTCGTCTTTCATCTGCACTGACCTCCTGCAGGCTTTTTCGGTTTTGCAATCCATTTTGAATTTTTCGTTTAACACCAGATCTGCACTAACACATCAAAAGTTTACATTTTTTATTCTTTGGACGGTGGCTGACGGGGCGAGATGCACTCGCGAAATCTGGTATTTTTTGTGGTCTTTACTTAGCTTATCTTAGTACCGCGCTGAAACATGGACCCGACAAAAAGCGTTAGCCTCCTATTTGCCTATCGCTCACTCCTATGGTGAGGTAACGTTTTTCGCCGATGTGAAAGATGTGCTAGAAAAATACAGAACAAATTCGTCACAACTCGATTCAGGGGGAATACTAAATCGATTTAGTATTCCATTATTTTTCTCAGAATTTTAAATTTTATTTCGCTTTTTGAGAAGGTATGGCAATTAAGCTGCAATAGCGTCGGCTTAAAGAAATTGTTATTGGTGCAGGCCAAAGGATCGTGACAACGGCTCGGAACCCAGCAATTAATCTCTCTTGAAAAAAAGGCGATTCTGGAGCTCCGCTGAGGGTGAGCTAACGTGCTTAGCAGCTAGTTGAGATAGTGTATTACGAGCCCTATTCCCAGATGTAGGAAGTAGAACCGCGGAGTTATGAGGTGTGTTGATAACTTATTTATTCTTCTATATATACTACTTGGAACACGGAAGTTTAGTGTAATGATTAGTGAAATAAGCTATATTCTAAAGTAGGTCAGGGAATTATGATTATGGTAGCAACATGTGCTGATTGCATTGGCGCGACAGTGTGCCGTTGAGTCGGTGAGACGGTGAGTTAGTGGACATATATTCTCATATGCATTGGGTGCTACTGAGCGCCTGGTACTGTGCCCAACTTGGCTACTGCATGATTTGTTGGGTGTGGTCATGTTGAGCACCTTTGGGTACGAACAGAAAGTGTTATAAATTCTTAAGCGGTTCTAACTTGTGAAAATTTTCCTGGCGTCCCTGTGGGCCCACAATAGATCAATTCTCTCTACTCTTGCCTGAATGAAAATCTCACCCTTGATGACTTTGTTAATAGCAATGAAATAATTATTTGGCGCTAAAAAAATTCCACATGCTAGCGTTCAAATTGTATTTACCCTTCAGTTCCAAAAAACAAGTTACACTTGTGAATTGTAGAAAATAAAATGCGTTTACAGAACTCTGGCAATGCTGGCATGTACTTTAGTGTCATCCCGCTCTTACAAAGATGGAGCATCGACAATGTATGATAATTGTATTCTCCTTTTTAAGTTAGTTGCAAATAAACTCTTTATGTGAACGTACGCACGGCGGCTTCAGTTATAAGATTTGCCAGCTCAATATGAATCACCTTGTGAATACCGCGGGACATGTCACCTGGCACGAGTGAAGAACAAGTGACACTTTATACAGACAATTGTATGGGATGTCCGCTTTTTCACAAGTAAAAATTCAAATGAAAATTAGTTGAAGTCATTCGGAATTTCACTTGTTCCTTATACTCTGAAGTATGGCCTATTACCAGCCGGTGACACGTCCCACGTAAAATCACTTGTGAAAATCAAAATGTTTCCCATGAGTTTTCACTTACGAAAACACCTCCAAGTGACATGTCCCACTTGAAATCACTTGTGAAACTCAAAATATTTCCAATGAGTTTTCACTTATGAAAATATAGAGTTTAAAGTACTTACATTTTTATTTATTTTTAAATTCATTTTAATTAAATAGTGTAATTTTGGTTTCCTGTTAAAGGACAAATATTGTTCGTAAGTCCTAGTACTCGGATCGGCTAAGAGTTTCACTAGTCGAATAATCGTATTCCTTGTAATGTGACCGCAGTATTCAAAGTTCACCCGTTATGCATGTAGCATGGTCTTACTGCCAAGCAGCTGGGTTTGTTTTATTAACAAACGAAAAATTGAAGGATTTTAAAAAGACGAGTCTGCTGGTGCTAAAAGAAGTTCAAATAAATGGAATGTTCAAAGGAGGTTTTAATTTATGTTAATAAGTTGTTTAAGGCTTCCTTCCCTTGCCAGGGATCCTTCGCCATTTTCTCCGCGCCATTTGCAGCCCAACATGGGCCTTGAGGGAGCTGCAGGAAGTCGCCCAGCATCCTGGCAATGACTGTTAATGGCTCCTCCAGCTGTACCTTA